TGAGTTGGTGGTCCCAGTTCCTGAGTTGGTGGTCTCGGTCTCAGTTCCTGAGTTGGTGACTCCAGTCCCAGTTCCTGAGTCGGTGGTCCCAGAGTCTGTGGTCTCGGTGGTTCCACTGTCGGTGGTTCCAGAGTCTGTGGTCCCAGTGTCTCCTGAGTTGGTGAGTCCCAAGTCGGCGGTCCTTGAGGTTCCTGGGTCGGCTGCCGGCGCCTGCACGACATCTGCTTTGGCTGCCGTTGCCTCCTCTTTGCCTGGGTCATCGCCCATTGCCTCTGTCGCCTGCGTTCGTCGTTGTTGACACTCTGGCTCGGTCAACCTCCACCGGCTCTTCGTCTGCTCCCGTCTCCTCCCTTGGCTCCTCGTCTTCTCCCGCCTCCTCCCTTGGCTCTTCATCTGCTCCCGCCTCCGCTCCTTGTCTGCTCCCGCCTCCTCCCTTGGCTCTTCATCTGCTCCCACCTCCTCCCCTGGCTCCTTGTCTGCTCCCGCCTCCTCCCTTGGCTCTTCGTCTGCTCCCACCTCCTCCCCTGGCTCCTCGTCGGCTCCCRCCTCCTCCCGTGGCTCCTTGTCTGCTCCCGCCTCCTCCCGTGACTCAACATGAATAACAATCTTACGATAACTAGCATTAGCATTAGCCAGTAGTTTCAGATAGGATTCAGTGTCACCCGCTCTGGCTCCAGGAATACATTTAATCATGGTTGTTGGAATACCTAGATCCACGTTTCGGACTATGGAGCTGCCAATAACCAGGGTCTGTCTCTCAACCGGAGCGTCGCTGAGTGGGGATAAGCGATTTGAAAAATGAACGGATTGACGGTCGGGAGTTTTAGATTTAGCACTGTGCTTTTTCCAGGCCGTCACCCAGCTAGCTTTGGGCGGCAGCCTAACGGGATCTGCCAAGGGACCGCAAGGCTACTCTCGGCGGCTCAGTGCTAGCCTGGCTAGCTGTTGGCTTCTCAACAGCATGAAGCTGAGCTTCTAATTCAGACAGCCTCGCCTCTAAAGCCACCATAAGTCCACATTTAATACAAATGTCATCGCTAAAGGAGGCAGGGGAGGAACTAAACATCTCACTCACGGAGCAAGTGAGGAAAGATGAGGTCGGAGAAGAAGTACTGTAGCTATGATGCTAAGGAAATGTTAACGGGAGCTATAAGATCCAAAAATACACAAATAACACCAAGAAGTGTTGAAAAATAAAAGATGTTTTAAGCATAGTCCCAACACAAACAAACTATATCAAAGGCRATTTAGGACTAGAAGTAGAACCGTGCAAAGGTAGATAATCCAGTGACTTAAAGAAATTACCAAACAAACAAACAAATTGCCGAGCACCAGCAGCAAAGCAGAAAATGATAGAATACATTACGTCTGTCCTTACYTTGTCTYCTGAAAACAGGAGCAGGTGTACGGTGGAAGACAGTTTGGTAGGATCTCCAAAGTTTGTGGTGCTTGTTAGCGGAGCAGTCTTTCACTGTCAGCGTCTGTCAGTGTTTGCACTGCCCTCAGCCGTGCTGTTGTTGGGTCTTAATATGCCTCGTGTTGTTGTTGGGTCTTTAAATGCCTCGTGTTGTTGTTGGGTCTTTATATGCCTCGTGTTGTTGTTGGGTCTTTATATGCCTCGTGTTGTTGTTGGGTCTTTATGTGCCTCGTGTTGTTGTTGGGTCTTTAAACGACTTGTGTTGTTGTTGGGTCTTTAAACGACTTGTGTTGTTGTTGGGTCTTTAAACGACTTGTGTTGTTGTTGGGTCTTTAAACGACTTGTGTTGTTGTTGAGTCTTTAAACGACTTGTGTTGTTGTTGAGTCTTTAAACGACTTGTGTTGTTGTTGGGTCTTTAAACGACTTGTGTTGTTGTTGGGTCTTTAAACGACTTGTGTTGTTGTTGAGTCTTTAAACGACTTGTGTTGTTGTTGAGTCTTTAAACGACTTGTGTTGTTGTTGAGTCTTTAAACGACTTGTGTTGTTGTTGGGTCTTTAAACGACTTGTGTTGTTGTTGGGTCTTTAAACGACTTGTGTTGTTGTTGAGTCTTTAAACGACTTGTGTTGTTGTTGAGTCTTTAAACGACTTGTGTTGTTGTTGAGTCTTTAAACGACTTGTGTTGTTGTTGGGTCT